ACATTACTTTGCCAACAAAGGTCCATTTAGTCAAGGCTATGGTTTTTCCAGTAGTCATATATGGATGTGAGTTGGACCATAAAGAAAGTGAAGAACCAAAGAACTGATGCTTTTGAACTGTGGTGTTGGAGATGACTCTTGAGAGTTCCTTGGACTGCAAAGAGATGAAACCAACCAGTCCTAAAGGAAATCAACCCGGAATATTATTTGGAAGGGCTGATGCTAAAGCTGAAATTCCAATACTTTGGTCACCTGATGCGAAGAACTGACTCATTTGAAAAGACCCTGATGCTGGGAAAGATTGAAGGTGGGAGGAGAAGGGGATGACAGAGGACGAGGTGGCTGGATGGCATCACCGACTCAATGGACATGAGTTTGAGTAAACTCCGGGAATTGGTGATGGACAGGGAGGCCTGGCATGCTGTAGTCCATGGGGTCGTAAAGAGTTGGACACGACTGAGCGACTGAACTGAATTGAACATACAGCTGATTCTCTCATGTACAGTAGAAACTAAAAACAACACTGTAAAGCAATTGTACTCCAATAACAATTTTTTAAAGAAGAAAAGAAAATTTTAAACACCCCTCAAAAATTGTTCAATGGTTCTCAATTGTTTCTTTAGTCAAGTTCAATCCTCTGAACTTAGCAAGCAAGGTCTTTTATTATCTGGGTGCTACAGGACCCTTCAGCCTTGGTCCCCGGCACTTTCCCACCCCACACAGCTTCCACTCAGCCATCCCTGCAGATCTAAGTGTGGAAGTGCTGCTTGCTTTTGATCTGTTGCCACCCTCACTTGACGTGGCCTCTGCTCATCCTTCTCTAACTACTATGGCTCAAAACTCAGATCAGAAGTCACATTTTGGAAGACCTTTCTTATAAATGAAATTTTACAAGGATTACATGGAAAAGATACATGAAACGCTTGGCCTAAAGATGGCATTCAGCTGCTTATATCTTGTTTACCTGATGGAATTTTCTCATATTTGGGGCAGGCATAATTAGCACATAAAATTTTCCTATTTTCAATGAAACCATCTCAGAATACAGCCCCTGAGGCAGGGACTTGTCTCCCTCATGTTTTTAATGAGATGGACTCATGCATAGGAAATTTTCCTTCTCATTTATGTTTTTGTTGCTTGATACTTGTTATTATCATTTGAGCTCCTAATCCTCATTCTTAATGGCCTGGAAGTGATTTTGATGGATTCCAAGACTGGAGACAAGTACCTTGAATGTATCACCATCCCAACAGCACAAACAATAACAATTCACAGAAGTCCTTGGCCCTGAGGATTGGCTGCTACCATTTCCAATTTTATATTGCTCCTTGGCACACTCTCCCTACTCCCAGGGCGCTGAGAGAATCCACCAACCTGCCACTCTCCATGGAAGGATGCGACCACACACCTCTACCAAACCAAGCCCTTCCTGGGTTCACTTCTGACACCATCGCCCTGATCTTCTATGGAGGTTTTAGGAACTCTCTGGAAAAGGGAAAGCCGCTTTCTGAGAATACATTTTCCTTTGGATACCTGTTCCTTGATAAGATTTCTCTCCTAGCACGTGCCCACAAGAGCACACATCCAGTTCTTACTTGGTCAGTCTCCCTACCTGTGTGAGGTCTGTGTTCGGAAAGTCCCCCGAAGGGGTGGTAAAGATGTAGTTCTCTTACTTGCATTTAGTAGCGTCCGGATCCTCTCCTCTTCCTCGGCTTCTTGGACTAGCTTTTCTGCCAGCATCTTGTCCTCTGACTCCACACACAGGTCAGCTTCCCGCAGGTACTCCAGGTAGTCGATCTCCCGCTGGGCACGCTCCACTCTCAGTGCCAGGTTGTGTACTGCACTCTTGTACTCACTTGTGTAGGTGTGACATCGTCCCAGCATCGTGGATATGTTTTTCGAGAACTCTTGGAAATCTTGAATGTATGCTCTTGTTGCTTGGGTACATTTCTGCAGTCCTTGCTTCAGTCAGAAAATAAATTCTCAAATTATTTCCAGTTATTTAAATTGCCCAAGTAATGTCAATAACTGTCATTCATAGAAATAGACTTTTAAAATACAAACAGCTAAAAGGGGGTGAAATTTTAAAAATCACCCATAATTCCTTAACTGAAAGAACCATTGACACTTTAGTGTACAAATCTTTAGGTTTTCCTATGCATTTAGTCATACACATATAAACATATTTTAAGGTGATTTTGCTATATGTGTGTTTTATAACATATTCTTAATTTGCTGATATATTGTGAACATGTTTCAATACCAATTAATATATATTTATACCATAATTTTAATAACACAATTCCATTAAATTGATATCCCATTATTGATTCCATTAGACTCTTTCTAATGAACATTTGGTCTTCCCTGGTGGCTCAGATGGTAAAGAATCTGCCTGCAATGTGGGAGACCTGGGTTCGATCCTTAGGATGGGAAGATCCCCTAGAGAAGGAAATGGCAACCCAGTCTAGTATTCTTGCCTGGAGGATCCCATGGACAGAGGAGCCTGGTGAGCTATACCCCATAGGGTCAAAAAGAGTCAGACACGACTGGTGACTAACATACACATATACATAAAGGACATTTACATAGTTTTCAGTGATCCACTACTCAAACAATGGTGAAGAAAAGCTTTGTCTTTACATATTTACAGTTCTCTGGTTATTTTCTTAGGATACATTTCCAGATGTAAGCTCTACCCCCAGCACCTGCACAGCGCCTGGCACATAGTCACACTTAGTATGAACTTACTGAATAAAAGAATAAGTTAAGGGGTCTTCCCTGGTGGCCCAGTGGTTAGGAGGCTGCCTGCCATTGCAGGGACACAGGTTCAATCCTTGGTCCAAGAAGATTCCACATGCCACGGAGCAACTACGCCCGTGTGCCACAACTACTGAGCCCGTGCACTAGAGCCCTGGACCACAAGTACTGAGCCCACATGCTGCAAGTACTGAGGTTTGCTCACCTTGAGCCTGTGGTCTCCAAGAGAAGCCACCACAATGAGAAGCCCTCCCCGCTAGTTCCAGCTAGGAGAAGCCGTGCAAAGCAACAAAGATCCAGAGCAGCCAAAATTAAACAATTTTTTAAAAATATTTTTAAAAAAGGAATAAGTGAATGAAGGATGAAAATGGGATGGGTTTCTGGGTCAGTATGCATACTTAAAGATCATTTGGTGGTTTACCAAAATGCTCTCCACAAAAGCTGTAAAAATATATACTTCGAACAGCAGGATATAAGACTGNGATGAAGACCCTGCGTGCTGCAGCTAAGACCCAATCCAGTGAAAAAAGATTAAAGAGAGAAGTGAGAGAGAAAGGGGCAAAGGCCAAAAGGGATGGCCCTGAGGAGTCCCATCAGCCTAGAGAGAAAGCAAAGTCTTGGACAGACTTCCCAGGAGAGGGGGGGAATGCGGCAGAAGGCACTGATGGTAGTAATCTGAGGAAGCAAGCCGGCTAGGTGGTGTGGTGCATGTGAGTCCAGGAGAACTGAGTCAGCAGTAAATATCATGACTGTAATGGTCACCATTTTGGAGAGTATGCCACGTGCCGGGCACCATGCTAAGTGCTTCACGTATATCCTCTAATCAAATTATATCACCACAACAATCATGAAATATGTTCACCAGATGAGGGAATGTTCCTGCTGTCAGAGGACCATACATTAAAAACCAGTTCACTCTCTTCTCTACCCATCACCCCACCCAGGTGTCTGTCACTTTGAAATGACACAGTTCTGCCAGGGGCCACTTCCCTGACCTGTAAGTACTGTGCGGCAGACACCTCTTCTGTCTGCTGGCTGAACACTGAGTGTTCCTCTTTCTCACACTTTCTCAAGGTATTTGAAAATGCACAGAACTCTGCAAGGAGAAGAGAGAAGATATATTTCTACACCTTGGAAACCATAGCATTACCCTTCAAAAAATTCCAACTGAGAAAATATTAGAAGATTAAAACAGCACAGTCACCCCAGAACACATGGGTGATAAGGAATGGCAAGGTGGGAATGGGTACTACTCCGAGCTGTGAGACCCTTATTTACACTTGTCAGACACATCCGCATTCAGAAATGTCGAGTACGAGAGTGGAACAGAACACGGGCAGAGTTTGGGCTCACCGAATTCTCCTGGTACCATGCTAATAGGGCTCACAGGCTTATCCTCAGTAGTGCACTGGGGAAGGCAATTGTTGATGGTAAGGGAAAAAAATGTATATGTGAATACAAACTATAGACGCATATAAGTAAATATATACTGGGTTCAGTCCCTGGGTTGGGAAGATCCCCTGGAGAAGGGAATGATTACCCATCTCAGTATTCTTGCCTGGGAAATCCCACGGACAGAGGAGCCTGGTGGGCTATAGTCCATGGGGATCGCACAGAGTTGGACATGACTTAGTGACTAACACTTTCACTTTCAACCTCACTCTAGTATCATAGTGACAGTCTCCCCCCACCCCCCACATTTAGTATTCTCTAAGCATACAGGGAAAGGGTAAAATAACTGGGGATATGTGAATATATAACAGAATGCTTTTATTATTTGAGAAAAAAAAATAGAAGTAAAAGTTCAAAAAATACCAGAAGTGATAGACAACACAGTAGGCACAGTTGAATTCTGTGACTTCTGCCTTAGAAATGTCTCTCCAAGTCCTGCCCAGCGGGGCTCGCTGCCTGTGGTCTTGCCCCTCTCCACTTCTGGGGCTGTGAGCAGGTCTCTCCTTCCAGCCCACACTGGTTCCCTAATGCTCACCCAGTCTGGATTCACCATGAGCTCCAGTCCCTCACGTTCTGTCCGCCCCATGCACGTGCCCTCCACACCCCTTTTCTGCACATACAAGACATACGCATACAAGACATACATACAAGACATACACATACAAGACATACAAGGCAGCATTGCCATGCTGGAGCACTTACACATTTCCACGTCAACCTGGGCCTGGCCTGGCTTCTTGATTTTGGAACTCCCATTTCTTCTGCTTAGAGTACCTTCTGACCTCAAACTACTATTCATCATCCAAGACTCAGTTCAACAAGTATTTCTTCATTGCTGTTTTCTGTAACACCCACAGGCAGAATGAACTGCTGTAAACACACTGGGCCTCAACACTTGGCTACAGATCAGAATGACCTAGGGAGGTTTTTTTTGTTTTTGTTTTTGTTTTAATATGTATGCTCCCTCATCCTATACTTGGAAATTCAATGCTCTGGTGTGGGTACAAGGCATCTCTATTTTTCTCAAAAGCTTCCACTAAGTTTTTATGTGCAGCCAGGGAGAAGAACGTGTGTTCTCATCTCAGGCTCTCAGCTTACCATTTTATTTCATATTTTACTGAATTCATCAATTTTTGAACTATCCATCTCTCTATCTATATCAAGCTCTTTTAGGGCATGGTTTAGGGAGGTGGGTCAAGCTTTATTATTATAATCTCTAGTCCTTAGAATAATAGCAGCCACCCAGTAACAGGTCAAAATGTGAGTTCAATAAATTTGGGGAGATGATGAATGAATTTGGTGAAACTATTTCATATCTGTCAACAGATGAACAGATTTTAAGATGTGATATATATTATATAATATATATATTCATTCAATGAATATCATTCAGCCACAAGAAAGAAGGAAATCTTGCCACTTAACAGCAACATGGATGGACTTCGATGGCATTATGCTAAATGAAATAAAGTAGATAGAGGAAGGGACTTCCCTGGTAGCTCAGTTGGTAAAGAAACTGCCTGCAGTGCAGAAGATCTGGGTTCAATCCCTGGGTCAAGAAGATCCCCTGGAGAAGGAAACAGCAACCTACTCCGGTGTTCTTGCCTGGAAAATCCTATGGACAGAGGAGCCTGGCAGGCTACAGTCTATGGGTCACAAGAGTCAGATGCAACTTAGTGACTAAGCCACCAGAAGGAGGAAAACAAATATTATATTATTTATATATGGAAACTTGTTAAAAATGTGGACCATTTTAAAAATCTTTACTGAATTTGTAATAATATTGCTTCTGTTTTATGTTTTGTTTTTTTTTGGGCCACGAAGCATATGGAATCTTAGCTCCCTAACCAGGAATTGAACAGGAATCCCCTGCATTGGAAGGATAAGTTATAACCATAGGACCACGAGGGAAGTCCCAGGAACCTTTTTTTAAAGTCAAACTTATAAAAACAGAGGGCAGAAAGGTAGTTACCAGGAGCTAAGGGGTGGGAAAATAGGTAAACATTGGTAAAGGGGTACAAACTTTCAATTATAGAATGGATGAGGCCTGAGGATCTGGAATATAGCATGGTAACTATAGTTGTTAACATGTATTATACAATTTAAATTTGCTAACAGAGAACTTAGATAGTCTCAGCAAAAAAAATTAACAATAAAGTAAAATAAAATATAATAACAGGGCTTCTCTGGTGGCACTTGTGGTAAAAGAACCTGCCTGCCAATGCAGGAGTCCAGGAGATGCAGGTGTGGTTCCTGGGTCAGGAAGATCCCCTGGGGGAAGGCATGGCAATCCACTCCCATTGACAGAGAATCCCACTGAGAATCCCCTTGACAGAATCGTCCCATGGAGGACCCTAGTGGGCTACGTTCCAGAGGGTCCCAAAGAGTCAGACAAGATTGAAGCAACTTAGCATACATGAGTTTAAGCAAGCTCTAAGAGATGGCTTCCTTCTAGGAAGCCAGGGAAGCCTGGCATGCTACAGTCCATGGGGACGCAAAGAATTGGACATGACTGAGCAACTGAAAAACAACAACCTACAGTCAGAAGTCAGTCAGTTCAGTCGCACAGTCATGTCCCTGTAGCTTGCTCAAACTCACGTCCATTCAGTTGGTGTTGCCATCCAACTATCTCATCCTCTGTCGTCCTCTTCTCCTCCCGCCTTNCTATAGAGTGGTGTCATCTGCATTTCTGAGGTTATTGATATTTCTCCTGGCAATCTTGATTCCAGCTTGTGCTTCATCCAGTCCAGCATTTCAGATAATGTACTCTGCATAAAAGTTAAATAAGCAGGGTGACAATCTACAGCCTTGACGTACACGTTCCCAATCTTGATCCAGTTTGCTGTTCCGTGTCCGGTTCTAAGCGTTGCTTCTTTACCTGCATACAGATTTCTCAGGAGGCAGGTAAGGTGGTCTGGTATTTCCATGTCTTTAAGAATTTTCCACAGTTTGTTGTGATCCACACAGTCAAAGGTTTTAGCGTTTCAGTGAAGCAGAAGCAGAGGTTTTTCTGGAATTCTCTTGCTTTTTCTATAATCCAATGGATGCTGGCAATTTGATCTCTGGTTCCTCTCCCTTTTTTAAATCCAGCTTGAACATCTGGAATTTCTTAGTGAAGAGGATGTATGGCAAATTGCAAAGTACCCTTTTGGGTTTAAAAGCAAGATTTTGATTATAAAGTAACAAGGAGAGTCTGCTCGTATACCTCACCAATTGTCTCCAAAGGACAAAGTGAAGGAGAAACTCCAGTGAAGTTTTGTGTTATGACCAGCATTCAGGCAATGCACATACAGCCTTCTAAAATCAATACTAATTCGAATGTATCAAGTCTGCGTTTGCTATTTTTAAAAAATCCAATCTCACTACATTACACACTATAATCACAACCCTGTAATCCTGGCACAGGGACCATATGTGACAAACCAAAAATAATGGTCTCTAGTTTGACAAGTTTGAGATGTGTTTATGGGATTTTAGGAAATTAGAAGCCAATACTCGGCAAGTCCAGGAATCAACATCATTCACTATTGTGAGTTCTGTCACAACGGTTGCCAGGAGAATGTTCTTTTCACAAGTTACCCTTACTTTTATGGCTATTTAATGGTTAAACAAATGTGTATAAATAAATGTCAGGCTTACATCTTTCCATACACAGAATAACGTTACTTGGTACCTGATTTTCCTTACCTCACAATAATCTTTGATGTTTAGACTGCCTGCCCACTTTGTTACAAACTGCTACATAGCCTGGCTCCCCCTCCCACATCCTTGGAACAGTTTTCTCCAAGTTACTGAGAAGATATCTCCCGGGCTTGGGGTCTTTTAACATTCTCACCAAGTAAAATAACTCTCCACTTTAAGGTTGTGACTAAAATTTTTGTCAACACTGTGTTTCCACATGATGTATAAAGATGGGAAAAAAAGAACCATTGTATTTTAAAAAAGGAAAAGAAATTTAATTGCTGATTTCTCCCCTTCCCTCAGCCTCTAGAAGAAAGGACTCTTAGCCATTAGAGACACAGTCTTAGTCCGTCTGGGCTGCTATAATAGAGAACCACAGACAGGGGGACTTCTCAACAAGGGAAATTGGGTTCTCACAGTTGTGGAGGCTGAACGTCTGAGATCAGGATGCCAGCATTGTTAGGTTCTGGTGAGGGTTCTCTTCTGAGCTGCTGACTACAGACTTCTGTCTGTGTCCTCACCCGGCAGTAGAGAGAAAGGACCTCTCTGGGATCTCTTTTAAAGGACACTAACCTCATTCATAAGGGCTCCACTCTTTTGATCCAATCACTTCCCACCTACACTTGAGACTGCTATGCCTTTCTCTGAAAACTCACACACACAGAGTATATCTATACAGGAAATGTCCTGAAATTCAGCTTGCATTTATCTAACTTTGGGAGCAAGACCAAAGAAGGTATGGATATTTTCTTATGAAAATATTATTAATATGTTCCTCTTCATTATAAAAAGATGAAAAATAGTAACTGACATTTAAGAGTTCAGATGGTGAATAGATTGTGACTTAAAATGCACCATAGACCAAAGATAATTTAGTTCTGCCAGTGATAGCTACCTAGAACTTTTGGACTAATTAAACTTTCACTCTAAGTAAGCTAGAACAACCAGATCCAAATAGTTAAGTTCACACATCTCTGATAAGGGAATAAATAGGAGAAAATAAATCCTTGATTCTAAGGACTATGAAACCAGGAGAAGCAGAACTGAATGGAAGCAGATGGTCAGTTGTGTTTCCTTTTTTGAAAATAGGTATCTTTTACTTCTTCCTGGTAAAAAGACCTTAATTTTGCAAATTTGAGCTGACTGACCATAGAGAATCAGGATGGGCTATTTGCAAATTATTCAAGATAGTCCACAGGCAGCTCTGCAAGAAGTCTGAAGTTTGACTTTTCTTTAAAAAAAAAAAAAATGTATACCATGGTTATCATATTGCCAGTTTGGGATTTTCCAGTATAATTTTGGGACATGTGTCCAGAACAGCTGAGGTAGTCAGGCAGGTATTAGCCACTCCTGGCACAGAAAGATGCTAGCATCTTGGTAAACAAACTTTGTGTAGCAAGTACCACAGACAGTATCACTTGTAAACAGCAGCTTTTTAAGGGAGGCAAGGAAACAAAAACGGGTCCCTTCAATCTGTTTTTTTTTTTTTTTAGCAATAACAGAACAAAAAGGAAATTGCTGTGTCTGAGTAGTCTTTACTGATCCATGAGTACACTACATGCTAAAGCTGAAAGTAACGGTTTGTCAAGAAAGAACCTAAATTGAGCCTGAGAAAGTATAATAATGAGAATCATGACTGAGGCATCAAACTGTCATGTCCTTGGTTGGTATTTATATGATAGAGAAAATGACATCCATGTACTGTGGTGAGAAATGATAAAACGTGATGGTTTACAGCCAGAGTGGCTGCAATACCAGTTCCATCAGGCCATCCTCTTCAAAAACAGTGAGGATAAATGTGTCCTTCGAAGGGACTTCTCAACAGCTGGCCTTTCTTTACTCTCTTCTGGGAGTCAACCTGGATCTACAGAATTAATGTCATTCAAACAGATGATACCTGCAGAT